CAGATCATCAAAGTCATTGCATTTCATATACCCTAAGGTTAGCAAATTAATTCATACAGTCAATAATATTTAAATTTATTGACTTTGGAAATAATAGTTATTTGTTTCTCATTTTAGTGTAATAAGAAACAAGACTCGTTTGAATGTGGCTATTACATCATGTATTGGATGAGAGCCATAGTTTCTGCGGGTATTACTAATTCTTGGGCGCAAGTAATTCATATAAAAATTTATTTAAGTATATTTACCTTTAGGATAATTAACATTGCATATTAATGACACTTAAATTAATGTTTCAGGTCTTTCAAGATTCATCTCCATTGTCCGAAGATGAGATCATCAAGATAAGAGAACAATGGGCAAATTTTTTTCTTCAAAGTATATATTAGTTAGATTTCAAAGTTTAGTTAATTAAATATTATGTTTCTAGTTTAATAGCATTGACAAACATATGTTTTATAGCTTTTTTAGGATTATAGGATTTACATTGTCATAATTTATGTTTTTTAACTTATATATTATTTTCTTTGTCATTCAATTTTGAAATATAATTTAAATTTCTATTCTGGACTGTCTGGTTTAGGTTTTATATTCTGGACTGCCTGGTTTAGGTTTTTATATTATGGACTATATATGCAGGTTTTGGGTATATCAATAAACAACCAAAATGTAAAAAAAAAACGCAACAATTTACATCGGACTATACCTTGTCCGATGTAAATTTACGTCGGCCTGTGCTAGGTCCGACGTAAATTTACGTCGGACAAGGTATAGTCTGACGTAAATTGTTGCGTCATTTTTCCCCTTTCAAAGCCCTTTTTTATGTCGGGCACAAGAAATCTCCGACGTAAATTTACGTCGTCTTTAGAGGCGACGTAAATTTACGTCTCTCGTATTAACGTCGAAGCCTTTTCCGACGTAGAAGTCTCAAAATATACGACATAAAAGACCCCTTTTGTAAAGTGATTCGTGTTCAATTTCCATGGGTGAGAGCTAGTCTCACCAACAACAATTACAATTATATCATTGTGAGCACAAATAGTATCAGACTTAATGAGCTGTGAATACCCATGACAGAACAGAAAAAGAACAACTTTAATGTATGAAATTATGTTTCACAAGCATAACTTATTCATTTTTTTATATATAAATTATCCCAGTTTAGTGAAAATTATCCCGGTGGTTTAGTAAAATTATAACCTCACTTCTACACCTGATTTATTTTATTTTATAATTCTTTACAATAATTTGTTATCATATATTTCCTTTGGACTCATTATATCTGAAATATCTGAAATTTTTAAATTTAATTGTATGTAATTGTAACTAATTTAACTCTATTTAATATTATCATTCTTAAAAAAATATCCTTAAATTAAATGTGATTACTAAAATAATATTATTAAATGTAGTTCAGAATAGGAAAGTTTAGAGTTTATATTAAATTAATAAAACTAGATAAATTTAATTAATTTTTAATATATAAATGTAATATTTTTTATTTACATATGAATCCCGTATGATCCTCTTTTCCTTCTATCTCTCCATTCTACTTAAGGGCTGGACTTTTCCACATATTCAAAAAAAATTCTTTTTTATAATTAACGGCTGTGAGGTTGCATGTGATGATTCAATTTCCAATCTCCACTTGTAAAATTTGTACAAAGGCAATGCATAAAGAGAAAACGCGTAGCAAGATAACCATTTGGAAGAAAAATCTAAAAATTCACTGGCTTGTTACTTGTACATTTCCCAACGTACTCACGGGCGGACTTACACACGCTGACATGCACACAGAACTACACATGCAATTGAACAAATAGACAAAGAAAAAAGCAGAGAAAATAAAAAAGATGCCATGGCAATTCATGACTTTGTAAACTAGGCAGATCAGAAAATTATCTAGTCTGAACTGGTAAACCAATGTCCCTCACAGTACAATTATGTTCTTGGCCTTTGGTATACAACTTGATGAAAGATAAAACGAAAGACACTTCTCTTCAGTACATCTTCTCAACTTGCTTAACTTATTCATGCATGAGTTATGCAATTCCTGCGAACATTAGGTAAAAGAAACTGCTGTTAGAGAATACTATTATTATGTCTAGTAAGTACTTTTGTTGCGTTTTTAATATTCAACTTTTATTACCTTGTTAGATTTTTTTTATATATATAAAAAAAATCATGTGTATAATTTTTGAAAAATGAAGGAACCGAAGGGATGTTTAATTTTATTTTTTTTAATAAATTTCAGTTAAAACTAACACAACGCTAAAATATGCACGTTATCGTTCTGACTTTGCACATATAAAATCCTAATTTTCTTGCCGCAAAACTAAGCATATCTTCAAAGAAGGTCCTGCTCTAACTAAAGAATAATAATCTTTGAATTTTTTTTTCTTTAAAGCAAAGTTTAAAATCTAGAGCCAGTTTTTCTTATAATGATCACACTTAAAAAAAGGTTCATCATAGTATGCCTATTTTCAGTGAACTATTTGTTTTTTATTTATTAAAAATGCTTTTTTTTTTGTTTTGTTTCAAAATCATTATCTTAACAATATTTTTGAAAGTCCTACTATCCTCCCTGATTCGCTCTGCTAATAGGGTGAGAGATAGAGAATATACAAGCTATATATATATATATATATATATATATATATATATATATA